TATTTATACATTTATTAAGGGGATGAATTATTTAGTGAAAGAAAAGTAAAATAATAAGGGTAAAAATATTTGTATGTGATACATAACAAAAGATATATCAGGGCCGAAATTGTTTTCCTGAAAATCAAGTATTTCACACAAAAAAGGTATTGCATTAACACATGTTTTGCTATACATGTTTATGTATTGGAACAAAATAAAACAGAGGCAGGCAAATAATGACATAATGTAAAGATATGCACCCTTAACTTATCAATTATATTAAGATCTCACCCGGAATTTTGGACCACTCTTCCTTTGAATGGAAGGATATTTTAGAAAGGTGTTCAATGAGATCTGGGCTCATTGCTGGCCAAGAAATGTGTATAAATGGATTAGCTTTCTGGATAATCAGAGGAAAATATTTTACCGTAGGTACTGTGTTTTGTTCTTTGTAGGCCTCATTCCGTTTTCGGTAAACAGTAGAATGATTGCTTTACCGAAAAATCTTGGTCTCATCTGTTCCACAAGACGTTTTCCCAGAATCTCAAGTACATTTTGGGCAAACTGTAGTCTTGCTTTTTTATGTCTCTGTGTCAGCAGTGGGGTCCTCCTGGGTCTCCTGCCATAGCGTTTCATTTCATTTAAATGTCGACGGATAGTTCGCGCTGACACTGATGCTCCCTGAGCCTGCAGGACAGCTTGAATGTCTTTGGAACATGTTTGGGGCTGCTTATCCACCATCCGGACTATTCTGCGTTGCAATCTTTCATCAATTTTCCTCATCCGTCCACGACCAGGGAGATTAGCTACAGTGCCATGGGTTGCAAACTTCTTGATAATGTTGCGCACTGTGGACAAAGGCAAATCTAGTTCTCTGGAGATGGACTTGTAACCTTGTTGATAATGATAATTTTGCACATTAAATTTTGGTTCTCAGGTCCTCAGACAAAGTTTGTGGCAAGGACACACAAAAAGGTTAAGAATCCTTTTTATCTGCTTTCAGGTGTGATTTCTATATTATTAATATTTCAGGAGCAAATGCTTTGTAACATTCTTATTTATCCGCATGAAAGGGATACTTTTGTCCAATTTTTGGAGGTTTGTGTGACATTATGTCGAATTTGCTTTCTTTCCTCCCTTTTTTTGTTTTGTCCCAATACACACATAAGGGAATAAAAATGTATAGCAAAATTAAGCAAAAAGTGAGAAATACATATTTCCTAGAAATATCAAATATCTGTATCAAAGAATTTGTTTTCCCATTATAGAATCAAATTAAAGATATGTTCAGATCAATTATATTAAGATCCAAAAACGCATTGAATGGATACAAAAGTGACAAGAATGTGTATAAATGGATTAGGATAAGGAAAATTATTTAGATTCAATAAAATCTATCATTTTGAGAGGGAAATGTTAGAAGCTTCCCATAACCTAATATCTAATATCTTCTTATTAACAGTACTAACATATGTATGAATGAGTTGGATGTTAATAGAATAATTGAGTTATTATATTTGTTCTAGATTGGGAAAAGTAAGTAATTAGACTTCATAGTCTGTGAATATACATATGAACATATATCTTGTTTTTTTCTCTACATTCAAGGGACATGTGGTAGCAATTGGTCTAGCCATCCTCCCCCATCTATGTAAGAGATTATGTTTCATTAACTAGAGAATTGTAAAAATCTATTTCATACATGTTAGGTTTACAAGATTTATACTGTAATATTTCTTGATTATGATATTTATATATGAGATAACTCTTATTAAGATTACTTTTAGGAGAATATATATACTGTATATATATAGCTATGTATGTGTTATACATCTAATTTACTCTGATTGATGGACTGTCTAGACCTTCTAAAGTTACATTCAGACTCCAAGGGGAGAGAAGTAGACTGGAGGTTTTGTTCTAATACATCTGTTTGTGTCAATTATCTTTGTAGAACTATAAGTATACCAGCCCATTTTTAGGAAAAGGTAGGGGCTGAAGCTGCTAAAAAGAGCAGAACAAAGACAGAGAATCACACTTTGTTAGAAGCCTTGACACACATACACACACAGCTTTACACAACACACTATTACATAATTACATACAATATCTTAAGAACTTTACTATATTTTTTTGGACATTATCTAAACCTTTTGTATTCTAATATTTTATTTCTAATTTTATGCAACATTATTATTAAATCATCTTTTTGAGTTTATTCATGAGTTAGAAGGACTTTCTATTTTAAACAATTCTCATCAATACAAGTTAAACAAAATATTGAGACAATACGATATTTTACATTGTCCTTATGCTGAAAGTTGTAAAAGAATGAAGTTATGTGAAGCTAATGTATGTGAAGATCACATAACAGTCCATTGTAACAGTATCATGTATTTCTGTCGACTAAGAGTTTTTTTAGATAACGGCACACTAAGAATCATATGTATAGAATATTTACAAATATGGACACTAAGAATCATGTCTAGAGCATTTACAAATAAGGCTCTTATATATTTAGCTCACACTGAATTAGGAAATAGCTGTTTAGTGGGTTGAGTCTTTTGGTCTTTTAACCACTTGACCTCCAGAGGATTTACCCCCCTTAATGACCAGGCCTCTTTTTGCTACTCGGCACTGCACTAATTCAACTGATAATTGCGCGGTCATGCAATGCTGCACCCAAATGAAATATACGTCCTTTTTTTCACACAAATAGAGCTTTCTTTTGGTGGTATTTGATCACCTGTGCGCTTTTTATTTTTCACGCTATAAACAAAAAAAAATGCCAAAAATTTTGAAGAAAAACAATATTTCTTACTTTGAGCTATAAAAAATATATAGTAAACTCAAAGTTGGTTATACATTTAGGCCAAAATGTATTCTGCTACATGTTTTTGGTAAAAAAAAAATCAAAATAAGTGTATATTGATTGCTTTGTGTGACAGTTATAGCGTCTACAAACTATGGTATAGATACTGCAATTTACGCCATTTGTTTGCTATACAGCGCTGCGCTAGTTTAACAGACAATTGCGCGGTCATGCAATACCGTACATAAATGAAATTTACATCCTTTTTTTCCCACAAATTGAGCTTTCTTTCGGTGGTATTTGATCGCCTGTGCGTTTTTTTTATTTTTTGCGCTATAAAAAAAAGGCTGACCATTTTGAGGGAAAAAATATTTTGGACTTTTTGCTATAAAAACATGTCCAGTAAAAAAAAATTTAAAAATCAAATTTAGTCATAAATTTCTGCCAAAATGCATTCTGCGACATGTCTTTGCTAAAAAAAAAAACCCAATACGTGTAAATTAATTGGTTTATGTGAAAGTTATAGCGTTTACAAATGGCGGGAAAGATACTGGGATTTTTAGACTTTTATACTAATAATGACGGCGATCAGCGACTTATGGCGGGACTGCGGCGGACATTCTGACATTGGGGGAAATGACTTGGGGTCACTGACTGTGACCGGCGACTGACATCCGCGGCTGTGATTGGCGGGACAGGTAGGGCGGTGGCGCGCCTCGCGTGCGCTCCCTACCTGTTTACAAAACACACGTTTTAAAACGTGCTTTTTCCCAGCCGAGCCGCCCTGCTGCCGTATTTATACAGTGGCTGGGCGGCATGTGGTTAAAACATATATAAGATGTGCCTTAGACATATAGAGACACACACACATACCCATGCATTCTGCAGCTGACACCTACTGACATTTTTGTTTTCTTAAGGCCTACAAAGCCTTGATACACCTGTTGTCTTCCCTACCAAGACTGAAACACTTTTCATTTATCATAGAACAGGCAAGAAGCTTGATATTTTTCAAAGCTTATTTCTTTTCCGTAAGCTACAACTTTTGTTATATTTTGCTCTGTATTTTATATTTTGTATTCATCTTATGTTGTTGCCAAGTGTGAATTAAATAATAGTCACACTGTTTTAAATAAGCCTGGCACTAGAACACTTTACCTCAAACGCCTAAGAAAGACACTTAAATAATATACCGGTAACTGTCACGTTATTTAACAGGAAGGCTTTCATTGTGGGTAGACTAACAAGAGAATCAGCGAATGTATATACTGTAACTAGCTTCACTCCAAAGTGACATCTGCAAGCTGCTGCTGTGTGCACTGAACTGTTCAGCTCAAAACACTGATCAGCCACAGTGTCTGTAGGGCACGCAGCAAAGGTCAGAACTGCTTGCAATGTTTCCCCATTTTAGCCCTATCTGAACATAGTCTTAGATTTTTTGTAGTAGGAATATGACATTGTTTGGTGTTTGATAAGACCACATACAACAGTTGTTTCAATGTACATTTTTGTTTTGTTTAATATTTTAGCCCTCCCATTGGAAATGAGTTCTATGAACCAGGGGAATATATGGATGGCATGCAGCTGGATGTGGAGCGTGCTGATGAACTGGAGTATGAAGTGAGTTGCTTTTTGATTCTTCTCTAATAATTTGATTGTGTTCTTCTTATTCTGGTTAATGTTCTGTGTGTATGATCTTAGCTAATATTTGTCATTTTCTGTTTTTCTCCTCCATGAAAAGTGTCACCCATTGAATATTTTCAAAACATGTTTTTCTTGCTGATAGCCTTTTCCTAACTGTAGCTGTGTGTGTCACTTCCTTTAGGTTCACACTTGGGGGTGCAGGAATCGCAGCTGTTCCTGCACCCGCAACCACCCGCAGCCAAATAGCGCTGCTCTGAAGAGACGTTTGGGGCTGCCATTCATTCTTAATAACACCCCCACACATCTCAACCTGCAGTGCGTTTGCAGGTGTGGGAACCACAAGGAAATAGCATGGTGCTTTTTCCCTGCAGCCGAGTTTAACCACCTCCCGCCCACCATATAGTCCAATGACGGGCTCAAGGTGGTTCTCTTGTTCTGAGAGGACGTCATATGACGTGCGGCGATCGGCGGTGTGCTGTGTCCCCCGGACGCAGCGGATCACCGATCACGGAAAGAGCCGAAGATGTCAACTCGGTCATGTGATCAGCTGTGTCCAATCACAGCTGATCACATGTAAACACGGAAATGCCGGTTATCGGCATTTCTCTCCTCTCGAGCTGTCATGCTGACAGCTCGAGAGGAGAGGAGAGCCGGTAATCTGCTTTCCGCGGAGGGGACATGTACACTGATCATCAGGGCACTGATGATCAGTGTAGCCCCAGCAATGCCACCTGTCAAAGTCCATCAGTGCCGATTAGTGCCAGTGCCTATCAATGCCACATATCAGTGCCCATCTGAGCTGCCTTTCAGTGTCATCCATCAGTGCCAGTGCCACCTATCAATGCCAATCAGTGCCACCTATCAGTGCCAGTCAGTGCTGCCTATTAATGTGCATCAGTGCCGCCTATCAGTGTGCATCAGTGCCGCCTAACAGTGCCAGTCAGTCCCGCCTAACAGTGCCAGTCAGTGCCTCCTAACAGTGCCATATATCAGTGCTGCCTTTCAGTGCCCATCAGTGATGCCTGTCAATGACCATCAGTGCAGCCTATCAGTGCCCATCACTGCAGCCTCATTAGCGCACATCAGTGAAGGAGAAAAATCACTTATTTACAAAATTTTATAACAAAAACTAAGAAAAAACTTTTTTTTTTCCAAATTTTCAGTGGTTTTTGGTTTAAGAAAAAAATAAAAAACCCAGAGGTGATTAAATACCACCAAAAGAAAGCTCTATCTGTCACAAAAAAATTATAAAAATTTCATATGGGTACAGTGTTGCATGACCGCACAATTGTCATTGCGACAGCGCTGAAAGCTGGAAATTGGCCTGGGCAGGAAGGGGGTATAAGTGCCCTGTAGGCTAGTGGTTAAAAAAAGGTGCAAACACCTTTTTTTGCAGGAAACGCAGGCATTGTAGCCCATTCAATTGAATGGGCTACCGTGCCCATGTAAGCACAGGCCGCAAAACCTTAGTCTCTTTTAAACAAATATGCTAATGATCTCAGTGCCAGTTCACATATATTGGATCCACATGACATGTGAAATAACATTGCTTCCTATGGTGCCTGTTCACATATGTCAAGTGCACTGGCAGTGCGGATTCAGTTCGGATTGAAAAAGAGTCCTGTATGATTTCTGAGCAGTGCGGTCTGGTTCAGGTGCGGATTACAGGCTATTGACTTCTATGGGAACTGTTTCTAAACTGCACATGTGTAAACAGGATAAAACCTTGACCTGAACCTGATGTAAACCTGGCCTGAAACTCTGAACAACTACTCTGTCGATTAGCTGTTAAAACTGAGTGTCAATCTGCACCACACATGTGTGAATCAGCTCTCATATTGTACATGCTTCTTGCTTCTCCCCCACCGCTGTTCAACCACACTGCTCACAAGGAGATGAATATATAATTAGTTCTGAATAACACGCTTGTCTCAGGCAGCAGGGACACATCAGAGATGAGCACTGTCACTACTCATTCAGGGGGTGGCCTGTAAATATTGGATGGAACAATAGATGCTTTAGAGCTCCCAATACATGATGTACCTTTTTCCCTAGTCTTGCTGGCATGAAAAAAAAAGAGTGCTTTATCTCCAGGCCATTCTTTCATTTGGTTGGCACTTGGAGAGTGACCGTTGTACGCTGCCAGGCTCCTTAGTTTTTAACATATTGTTGCCAGAAGAGACTGATAGGAGGACAGAAAGTGGGAAAAGGGGAATGACTGTGGGAGATAAAAATATTGAATAGAGGTGCTTGGAGAGAATGACACAAGATTGGGAGGAGGAAGATTGCTAGCTGGAGGTGGGGGAAAGAAATGACTGTGGCAGGCCAGTGGATTGACTAGAGGTGCCAGAAGAGAATGACAGCAGAAGGCGGGAAAAAAATTAAGACAGCAGAGGGTCAGTAAGCAAGAATGAAAGGAGGGCATAGCAAAGAGGCAGTAGCTACTGGACTCTGCTGGAACTTCCCTCATAGGAATGCTCACAAAATCGAGCTTCATAGAGGGTGGAGCTCACCGCCTAAAACTCAAGACATGGGTATATACATTGCTCAAAAAAATTAAAGGAACACTTTTTAATTAGAGTATAGCATCAAGTCAATTAAACTCCTGGGATATTGATCTGGTCAGTTAAGTAGCAGAGGGGGTTGTTAATCAGTTTCAGTGGTATAAATGAATTTAACAGGTGCACTAGATGGGCAACAATGAGGCGACCCCCAAAACATGAATGGTTTTACAGGTAGAGGCACTGACATTTTTTTTCCCTACTCATCTTTTCTGACTGTTTTTCACAAGTTTTGCATTTGGCTAGGGTCAGTGTCACTACTGGTAGCATGAGGCGATGCCTGGACCCTACAAGAGGTTCCAGGAGACAGGCAGTTACTCTAGAAGAGCTGGACCTTAACCCATCAGCAGGGCCGGTATCTGCTCCTTTGTGCAAAATGGAACAGGATAAGCACTATCAGAGCCCTACAAAATTACCTCCAGCAGGCCACTGGTGTGAATGTCTCTGACCATTCAATCAGAAATAGACGTACTCTGGTGGGCCCTGTGCACACTGCCCTGCACCATAAAGCTTGATTGCTGAGAGTGAGTTCACCCTGAGCATGTGATAGACGTGAAAGGGCCTGGAGAAGCCGTGGAGAATGTTATGCTGCCTGAAACATTGTTCAGCATGACTGCTTTGGTGGTGGGTCAGGGATGGTTTGGGGAGGCATATCCATGGAGGGACGCACAGACCTCTACAGGCTAGACAATGGTACCTTGATTTCCATTAGGTATTGGGATAAAATCCTTGGACCCCTTGTTAGACCCTAAGCTGGTGCTATGGGTCCTAAGTTCCTCCTGGTGCACGACAATGCCGGCCTCATCATGTGGCAAGAGTATGCAGGCAGTTCCTGGAGGATGAAGGAATTTATACCATTGAATGGCCCCCACGCTTGCCTGACCTAAACCCAATAGAACACCTCTTGGATATCATGTTTTGGTCCATCCAACACCGCCAGGTTGCACCTCAGACTGTCCAGGTGCTCAGTGATGTCCTGGTCCAGATCTGGGAGGCAATACTCCAGGACACCATCCATCATCTCATTAGGAGCATGTCCTGACATTGTCAGGCATGCATACAAGCACATGGGGGCCATACAAACTACTGAGGACCATTTTAGGTTGCTGCAATGAAATTTCAGCAAAAAGAACTAGCCTGCTGCATCATTTCTTCACTTTGATTTTTGGGGTGTCTTTGAATTCAGTCTTCTGTAGGTTGATAATTTTCATTTTCATCAAACAATGGGGCATTCTTAACACATTACCCAGTCCATATCAGTATAGATATCCAGGATGATATTTTTCCCCATTGAGATCTGATGTGTTTTCAAAGTGTTCCTTTAATTTTTTTGAGCAGTGCAGTTGGAAAAGTTGAATAAAAAGACACCGAACCAACCAGTTCAACCTGAAAATGTGTGTGCATGACTTATTCCAAATCCTTGTACATTGTGTTAGCTAAGAAACACATCTAAACGATTTTTTAACTTCTATACACTCTTCGCTGACACCACCAACTGTGGAACGCTGATAAAATCTCTTTTCTGCGTTCAAAAACAACTACTGTAATCTCAACTGCCTGTAAATGACTGTAAACGACATAGTGTACATGGACACATAGGAAAACATTAGGGTGAGTTCAGGGGCTGCAGAAAAAAATGCTGAACAGCTCCTAAACGTGAGTTTGTCAGCTGCAGTATACATGAGCCCTAAATATGAGGATTAATGACAGTCAAATCTACTGATTAGATACATACCTGGCTATTCCTATGCTGTAATTTGCTGTGTTAACTGTGATCAACTGTCATCATGCCATGCTGCACTGCATATTATAACGGACACAAAGCTCTTACTGCCCTCCTTGTGGTGCTGGCATCTCCTTTCCCTCTGTCAGAGTATTCTACTTCCCTGCAGCCACTCACGTACTCACTGCAATCAGCTGTTACCATGCTGTGCTCCATTGCTGACAATACAGTTACAAATTCTCCATGTGTTGTTGGCTTAGCTTCTTTCCTGGGGAAGCCTCAGTGGGGAAGCTGACAGACTCAGAAAGGTATACTGACAGTGGAGGTATTGAGGGCCACAAAGGGATGGATGTGGCCCTGGGACAGCAATTTGCCCAGGTCTGGTCTAGCATCTGCTCAGAGGTTCCCATGGTGTCAGATAGACCCCCTGCATTCAGTCTTCTTTCTCTTCTTCCTCTCCTCCGCTTTGCTATCCCACACTGCTTCACACTCTGTTCCCAACATTCTATGGCATCCTTACTCCACTCAGTGATCCAGGCATTTTGTATCCTGCGCAGCAGCACTACTCTACGTTTGTTACTACTAGTTTCCACTTCCACCAATATGGGGAATTTGTTATATTTGCTTGTGTATATTGCTATGTTGCTAGTGTCTTCTTCTTTTGCAGGAAGTGGAATTATGTAAAACTAGCCATCAAGATAAGCTTGGTCTAACGGTTTGTTACCGCACAGATGATGAAGAAGATCTGGGAATTTATGTAGGAGAGGTATGAGGCTCTAACTTCCCTGCAGCACTTCCATTAAATAAGCATAGTCTCACTTTTATGCCTCTGGGTGGTTCCTTTCTTCAGACTTTTATTATTATTTAATATTAAATAAGCCCTGTTGCCAAACCATTCTTTTCAACAGCAGTCTTCCCATAAGACTGTATGTGCATTTAATGTATTTTAGGCATGTTATTTACCTGTAAAAACCTTCCTTCTTTAGACAACTAAAAGCCTTGGGAGTACTGATGGGTGCTTCCATCTTGCTTGTGATGACAACAGCCCCAGCTGACTAAAAGCTGTTGCTCAAGTGAAACTGTAGTAGTCTCCTTTACTCCTTTCCTGGCTGCTACATAAATGGTTATGTAGGGAGGTAAGGGGAGGGACAGAGAAGCTGTCAGCACAGGTAGTAATTAGACACTCTTGGAAGAGGAGAGGGCTTATGACGTACAGAAGAAAGAATTTAAAATACTTGATTTTCCTGAGCTTTTACCTACAATTTTTGTAAGCTTCAAAAATAGTGCTGTATATATTTCTCAGGGAGCTGCTGTTATGCTATTGCCCTCTAGTGGCACTTTCAGAAATAGTTACCAATACCAGCACTCCTAAAATTCAAAGTGAAACCACTCATACAAATGTATACCAATTCATCAATCTGCTTAAAAATATTCTAAAGTGCAACCGTATTATGAAAATAAAAACTATATAAAAATTCAACAATGTGTTAGTGTCTCATTCTCAATACAAATACCACAGAATGTGCAAAAAGCAAATATATGCAGAAGTACAAATCTCCCCTCTCCACCCCCCCCCCCCCCCCCCCCCCCCCCCCCCCCCCCCCCCCCGCTGAAATAGAGGCTTTTTTTTTTTTAGAAAATCTTTACTTTTTTTTAGTAAATTGAGTCCCCCTGCCTCCTCAAGGTGAATGACGCACACACTACCCGTTGTGCCTACCGGGATATGTGCGTCACATATCCTAGGAGGCATAAGTTTCCATTGAGCAAAAGAGGGGGTGAT